AAACTCTGAATAAGTATGTATTATTTTAGAGCTCTGACTGATTTATAAAAACTTGTTCAATTCATGTTGATATTCGACATCTGTAAGTACAGATAAGTGTTGTCATATATTAATAGCAGATACATATTGAACTCTAAATCATCCAAATGTCTCTACCTAGTACGCCAAATTCTGTATGATACTCATTTGAATAGCTTTATGATCTTTCATCTATCTGTGAGCACTTGCTTTTCTTTCCTCCCAACATTAGGAATCTCTTATAGTGTTGGCAAAAACCCCCTCATCCAGGCAGAACCTGCATAATATTCATTAACTTTTATACCCTATTATATAATAGGGTCACTCCACAGAACTCAAAGACCCTCTCATTCTAGTTGTTCTCATTTTCTCACTTCATAGTCTGTTAATGTTGACATTTCTATGTTGGAAATCGGTTTGGTTAGTAGTAAAACAGTGTGATGTATTTCTATGTTGATGAAATTTTCTGCCTGCTTCTGTTCTGGCAGATTTTTTACTATTCTTTAGATCATGTATCCATCCATGATTCGATGCTTCTTCCTCGTAAAGTTATTCTGCAAATAGATTTTTGTTATTATTGACGAGCTCTCGGATCCTTTCCCTTCCCTGAATAACTCGTCAGCATTTTTTTTCACCCCCGTACAGAATACTGTATGTGCTAGCAACTAGGCCAAGGTCAGTTTATTTTCTGTTCTGACTGCTCAATTCTTGTCCATGAGTTTTGAGATAATTCACAACGGATATGCTGGTTGTAATAATTGTTTATTCTAATTTGATCTATCCTGGCACAGCCACCAGGATAGGAAAGTGACTACTTCAATTGCCCTTGGCTTTCAGAGTAGATTTCAATGGTTCTTCCCTAAAATAAACTGTTGCTTCAGTAACTCTCTGCAAGATGATGAATTGCCAGATTTGCCTTTGGATTAAACTCAAGTTTCATAACAAATTAACCCAGGCTATCATGAACCTAATGAGTTACATGTATAGAGCCCGTAATTATGTCCGTACCTACTTCCTCCTGGTATGATTGAAGTCGATACAGCCATGTTCTTTCGTATAGTTTTAGTAGGTACTGGTTTCATGTTAGCTCATGATCGAAGACGACTCCTAGTTAGTTTGTATCATGTGCGAAGTTGATTTTCATCCCGTTGAAAACCCATGACTTTAGTTCTCCTAGTACTCTATTTTTCATGAATTATAATGTAACTGTTTTATGGGAGGATGGCCACTGTGAGTCATTCATCTTTCTCAAATCTTTGGTCGATTATAGTCCTATATTCGAATAGATTAATATAGCATTAAAAACAATAATTTATTAGTTATTGGTTGACTTAGATATATTTCTACTGTTATGTTACCAGATACTACTAATGAGAGAGGTTAAAAGACAATCTGTTAGTTTTAAAATTGTATTTGAACTCAAAAGAAGATATCCCAGAACAGTTGAATAATGTATAGAATAGCCATTCTCGGAGTTAACCACACAAACCAAGTCAACAATAAGTTAACCAGTCAATTTTCATCGAAATGTATTCCAAACTATGACTCAATAGTTGACCAACCACACAAACCAGTTTACTAAGGAGTAGTTACGGCTTCTGATTGGTCACGGAATTGGTATCTCACTCTTGTTGATGTCTTTATTATAATCTGAGGTTGCAATTATTTATAAAATATAAAAAAATTACCTTTTCTGATGAGATAACTATGGATTCCTAGAAGTTGTGGATGGAAATTCTAACCATATTATTGGCGAAAAAGAAATGATTGGCTAATTGATAATAGGTAAGTAGCTAGTTGATAAATTTCCTTGGATTTGAAGTAGGTAGGTAAGTAGGTGCCTAGTATCTATCTACACTATATAGTATATTTTTGTTAAAAATGATGAATTTCTCATTCAAATATGACTACGGAAACCAAACAGAGAAATCACCAATATATAACAACAGTTGATAAGCTGACATCTGTCAAGCTCCACAAGTAAACCGTACCGTCATAATGACGTTAACGTGACGCCATGAAGAAGTCAACCTTGTTTGCTTAGTTGGGTTCGAGGGAAAATGACTATTGTTTCTTCTTTTATATATCATATATCATATTTCACCGAGCTATTCAATAATGAGGTATCAGAAGTAGAGGCTACTATTGAAATGATATGTGTTGGGGTGGTTGTAACTCAGGGGGTTTTATATAGTATATAAACAGTTATGAATCATTCGTGATATGTATCTCATTTTGTATATGAGTTACATCAATTCCAAGCTTTCAAATTGTCATCACCGTTTATATGGCAAACCGGACATTGTATATCAGAGGAAATCATATGAATCCTTATATTGATGATCAAGATCCATAGTGTGTCGAATAATTGGCAGATTGTAGCCATTAGTTCTCAAGTTTTCAGTGATTGAGTAAAAATCGAAATTCTGATATTTTCATTATTTGTCTATCCCCATGAATATTATCTTGTCATGATGGAATGCAATACCCTGTATGTGATATTATTATCTATTCGAATAGAGGGATTCATGAGGTAGAAATAAGAAGTGAAGCTTTAATTTCTACTGAAGATTTATCACGACTTAGAGCACATAATTCAAATCGATGCAAAATATTCTAAACAGCCAAAATCAAATGATTGACACCCTGTAGCTCGAAAACTGGTTATAGGATCGATCTGTAAATTGGACTGTGTGATGAGGACGCTAATATCTGGAACATGTGAAATTTTCAGAAAAATTAACCGGAAGCCAATTTCCGTACTAAATGTGCGGAGTCCAAATTTATTTATTTTCTTCGAAAATATTAATAACGAAATACTACTACAACTTGAGTATTAAGCTTCCTTCGTTAGATTTCCCTCTCAACAAGGGTTGAGAGAGAAGTGGGAAGATAAATAGATTTATTTATCGCTTCGAGCGCACAACAGAAAATCCCTATAATGTTCGAAGAACATCGTGCGTACCTAGGGAGGATAGGGTAAGGCGGTAGGTATTGGATTTTTTCTGACCCAGTTCGTTGCTAAACGATTTGAGGAAGGCAAATAAGTCACGAACAAAAATTGTAGCAATGCTATTTTTATTGCACCATTGTTATACTTAAATCATCTAATTGAAACTAACGAATGGTCATTATAATCAGGTAACATCGAACTAGAGAGGATCATTCCTCATTCCTATTCCTCAATGATTTACGGTTTCGAGGAAGGGAGAGAGCGGAAATAATTGTTTATTCTAAATTGATCTATCCTGGCACAGCCACCAGGATAGGAAAGTACGACTACTCCAATTGCCCTTGGCTTTATTCAGAGTCGATTGCAATGGTTCTTCCCTAATATAAACTGTTGCTTCAGTAACTCTCTGCACAATGATGATTTGCCAGATTTGCCTTTGGATGAAATTCAAGTTTCATAACAAATTAACCCATGAATCTAATGAATTACATGTATATAGAGTCCGTAATTTTGTCCGTACCTACTTCCTCCTGGTCTGATTGAAGTCGATACAGCCATGTTCTTTCGTATAGTTTTAGTAGGTACTGGTTTCATGTTAGCTCATGGTCGAAGACGACTCCTGGTTAGTTTGTATCATGTGCAAAGTTGATTTTCATCCCGTTGAAAACCCATGACTTCAGTTCTCCTTGTACTCTATTCTTCGTGAATTAAGTATAATCATGTATAATGTAAAGGTTTTATGGGAGGAGGGCCACTGTGAGTCATTTATCTTTCACAAATCTTTGATCGATTATAGTTCTATATTCAAATAGATCAATACAGCATTAGAAACGATGATTTATTTCCGAATTGTTTGACTCAGATGTACTTCTACTGTTATGTTACCATAGCACTACTAATGAGAGAGGTTGAAAGACAATCTCTCGCAGTTTAGTATTGTATTTCAGGTAAAAAAATTATCACAGAACAGTTGAATAATATATATAGAAAAGCCATTTTTTTTTCTCGAAGTTAACCACACAAACCCAATCAACAATAAGTTAACCAGTCAATTTTCCAAATTTCCAAACTATGACGCAATAGTTAACCAACCACACAAACCAGCTCACTGAGGTAGTTCATTGAGTAGTTACGGCTTCTGATTGGTCACTGACTTGGTATCACACTCTTGTTGTTGTTTTTGTTATAATCTGAGGCTACAATCATTGATAAAATTTAAAATAATCACCCTTTTCAATGCGATAATTATGGATTCCTACATAGTATTTGTGAATGAAAATTCTTACCATATTATTGACAAAAAGGAAATGATTGATTCATTGAAGAAGTAAGTATAGATAGTTGATCAAATTTCCTTCTATTCGAAGTAGGTAGGTAAGTAAGTACCTAGTATCTATATATGCTCTATAGTATCTTTGTGTTACAAATGATGAATTCCTCATTGACAATAGCTGATAAACTGACATCTGTCAAGCTCCACAAGTGAACCGTGACGTCATAATGAAGTTACCGTGACGTCATGATAAAGTCAACCTGGTTTGCCTAGTTGGGTTCGAGGAATAATGACTATTGTTTCTTCTTTTATATATCTATCATATACCTATGACCTTTGGCAAATTTATTTTCTAGGGAAATATTAATAATGAAATACTACAGCTTGAGTATTAAACTTCCTGCGTTAGATTTCTGTTTCAACAAGAGTTGAGAGGAGTGGGAAGATAAATAGATTTTTTTATCGCTTCGAGCACACAACAGAAAATCCCTATAATGTTCGAGGATCATCGTGCGTACCTAGGGAGGATAGGGTAAGGCGGTAGGTATTGGATTTTTTCTGACCCAGTTCATTGCTAAACGATTTGAGGAAGGCAAAGAAGTCACGAACAACAATTGCAGCAACGCTATTTTTATTGCACCATTGTTATACTTAAATCATCTAATTGAAACTAACGAATGGTCATTATAATCAGGTAACATCGAACTAGAGAGGATCATTCCTCATTCCTATTCCTCAATGATTTACGGTTTCGAAGAAGGGAGAGAGCGAAAATCTCGGTTCTGGTAAAGCGTGGGAGGAAACTGGAGTAAAAGTATTACACACAACAATAGATTACCAAATAACTTGAATCATATATAAACCAAAATTAGTTCACGTGTGGTAGTAGGTACTTCTTTTGTCTGTGTGTGCATAGCAATTCGACTTGGCGTAACCTAATTTCTGCAGCGAAGTGGCATCAGTTTGTGTTCTGAATATTGTGAATACTGCCTGTTGGATACAAAATGTTCGACAAAGTAAGTCTTGGAAATATTCATGAAACCAAGAAAAAAGAACAAAAAAAAAATATACCACGAAAATCAAATATATTTTGTTACTAGTTTCGGCACTACGGTCATCATCAGAAATAAACTAGAGTGAAAGTTAGAAAAATTTGAAAGTAAAAATGTTATGAAGTGCATCTGCAAAATAGCAGGTTATGAATTTAAATTCGATTGTCGACCAATAGTCAGTTCTGAAGGGAACTATCACAATTTGTATAAAATTAGAACAGGTGAAAATACAAGTTGATAACTTGATTGAACATAAAATATCAGAATTTCAAAATATCGTCAGGGTGGTATCAAAAAAACAGTACTAGAATTTCCCAAATTCTAGAAGACTATTTTGTGAATTAATTCAAAGAAATGGGATGAAATGGAATGTGAAATATTTTGGAAAACGTGTTTGCAACAGAATTTCGAAATATCACTCCAATATAATACGATACTACATTAGTATTTGATTAAATTTGAATGAATATTGCCATATTCATAGTGGAATATCTCTGGAAAAAAGTCAGGAGAAAACAACAAAATGGTTCTAATTTTTGTACTTTCAAGATCATTGTCTGCTTTCAGTATAATATCATTCTGAATATTCAACAGGAAACAACTGCTTTCCTGGCTATTTGCCACGTCGAACATTGAATTATATCTGTTGAACATCTAAAAAGAGAGCATGAAAAATAAAAATCCTCTGAAATTGACAATTGATATCATCTCTCAAATCGGATAAAATAATATGATGTATTATGATATAAGAATATAACTTACCAATATGTCCAGTGTTGAAATGAAAATCGAAATGTATAGTAGAAGTATTCTTGTATAAACTCTAATCTTGATGAGCTTGGAACTTCAAAAAAATGATTGGTATCAGTGATATGGGAATTATATCTCTCACAAACAGTTTATATGACTCCACTCGGATAAACTCATTTCGGATATCAAATCCTCATCAGTAACCTGAATTCCAGTTATTCTTTCAGCCATTCTTCATGATATACACAATTTTCATCTCCCTATCATATAACTAAAACTATAAACCGAGAAAGAATCAATATTTTCATCATAGAATATGCGACTTCTCAATGTATTTCTTCAGATATATACAGGGTGTTTCTCAAGTACGTGTAGAAAATCCAGGAGCATGTTGCTGACGTCAAAATAAGAAGAAAAGTTTGTATAAATATATGTCCGAAAGTTATTCGTTTCTGAGATACAAAGTGTCAAAGTTGAAATCTTATTTTTGTTTTTTGTTGATAAATTCCAAAATAATTGTGATATTGGAATAAAATTTGGTATCTGGGGGTATTTTTCAATGACAATATCAAATTTTATATTAGTTTGTCTCTTTCGTAGGGGTGGCGCCACCTACATGTCTTTTGAGTCTTTTGAAAAGTTATAACTTTTCTTGTGCGTACCAGTATAACGTGACATAGTGAAAAATAGATTTCTAGAACACTTTTGTGAGAAAAATATATTCTTGGTAGAGGTCGCTGCGAGCAACTGTTTTCGAGTTATTGGGATTCGAAATAATCGATGCATTCGAATTATTTCCATGTGGCTCGTAAGTCGCCTCTAGTGAATATCAGAAAAGATACGCCAGTGCATTTTTGTTCTTTCATTCAATATTCTTCTTCATTCAACATTGAAATGTAGGCAAAATATGATTCTTATACATTTGTACCTACTTTTTTTTACTCTTCCAATAAGATTTCCACTTTGACACTCGGTATCTCAGAAACGGATAGCCCTCTACACGTACTTAAGAAACACCCTGTACATCCATTTTTTTATGTTCATAATTATATATGAGAATATTCCTTTTCAATACTTTCACCTAATCGAGGGGTTCAAACTTGAACGATGGAAACTTGTTATTTTAATAGACCTTCAATCGCAGATTCGTGATCAGGTTTTCTCAATTCAGAATTTTTTTCCACGTCCTGTATGATGAATATCAATATCAATCATTTTTGTTCGAGGAATATGTGGTAGTATTCGATATTGAATTGAAACACATTACTATCTATTCATCTATTCTTCTATTATCACAATATTGAGGGTAAATATTTGCATTGAATATTTCCTCTTTTTTACAGGTTGCCACTCTTACTGTTCTTGTAACATTCTTGTCATGCACCAAGAGCGAGCCTCCAAGTACCGACTATGGGACTCCTCTTGGAGCACCAATCAGCAGTTATGGTACTCCAAATTACAATACGGATAACTACGGGGATCACAACAATCATGATCATGGTGGAGAGGTAAGGTTCCAATCGGATTCAAATACAAAAATATTCACCCAATATCACATTCCACTCTGAATAATTTTGACTGATAATACCACAAGAGCTACAATTATTACGGGAAATTTCATCGAGAACACGAATATTTCGCTAATTTTTAAGAGTTAAAGACGAGGAACAATTTGCTGAATATTCGTGTTCTAGAAAGAATTTCCGGTTTTGAATTGAAGCTAGAGTGGTATTCGGTAAGAAAAATTCACACCGAAATTCAAGAAAATCCTAGGATGAGATGACGCTAAATCATAGGGCTAAATTAAATACAAAATACCGACTTTACTTAAAGAAAATATTGATAAGGCAGCTGGTGGTAGTTCAAACTATTATTCCTGACTAATTTTATTCCACTAAAGTTGGTGGAAATATATTTTGTTACAAGCAACGTCGATTGTTGTTGTTATATCTCAAAAAAAAACCATAGATGGTTTTGACTCCAGAAAATCGGAAACAAGAGGCTTTCCAAAAATATATATGTCAAGTCATCCATCCTTACTGTTAAAATAACAACAATTCAACGTTGGCTTTGATATCAGATATAATATGCGATATATTTTAGCAGCTGTATATCTCATTCTACGTTAAAAAGTGCCTAAAGAATTTTTTTTCCGTTAGAAAAAATATCCAAGAAATAAAAATATGGCATATTTTCGAAATAGTTCAGATGTCAGTTTTCTCCTATATCTCAGGAGAATATCCAAAAATGAAAATGTTTTGGCATATTTTCGAAATTGGTCAAATGTAAATTTTCGCCTATATCTCGGAAACGGTTAGATATCGAAATGCGGTCTTCACCAATCGACGTTTCACAAAAATCGAGCTCTAGACCTCTTGGTCAGTTCTTCTCTAGATGTTCTGGAAATAGGAAAAACTGCCAAAATGAAGCAATTTGGGACACCCTGTACATACGAGTCAATTTTTCCCATGTCATATAATATTGGCACGAACCCATCATATATTTATATCGATATCATAACAAATGGTAAATTTGCATTCTTAGTACTTTCAATATGCATTCTCTGGAACAATTTGATTATATTATAGAACCGGAACACTTTACAAGAAGATGACCATTATTTTCATAGTATATCATTTACTTCTGCATATATAATGATGTCGCAACTATTTACACACCGATCGAACGATGAAAGTATATCATACAGGCTTTGTTTTGAAGAATATAATTATTCTGCCTACTTTCTGAAATCTATATTAATGATTTCTAGTTGCTTCTTCAAACAATGGTGTTCTTATAAGTAATGTGGTGAATATCTTTTTCAATAATAACTTTGGAAAATCAGCAACACTGTTTCTTCAATCTCTCTTCTTCTTATATTATGACCACCTCCATCTGGTCATACCAATGATATGAAATGACAAATAAAATGTCGTCTTTCTTATACGTGAATTTTAAGGTTTTCACGCCACCTGGTGGTGAACTTGTGAACCTACCTAATGAGTGATCGATAATGGGTGCATTGTGGTTTATCGAATTTTCAGTTGAGATTCTATGAATAGGACTATTATTAGAAATTCAATGTACAAAACAAGAAATATTACTTAAAATCCTCCATTGTTTGTTTTTCTGATGACGAATAAAAGGCGTCTTCATGCTGAATCATCAATTCTGAATTCTGATTATATATATTTCATAATCATCTACTTATCCAATATCAAATTGAGACATTTCTCAATATGAAATTGTTATTCAATTATCCAGTATTGTAAAGACTTCTTTTGTAAATCAGTTTCACAAGTTCATGTTCTGTGATTATGCCATACCAAATGAATGATATCATTAAAATGATAGAACGATCTCCATAAATACCTACTACTTGAGGTTGATAGGTCAGACGCAACTCGACCATCATTCAATGGAATTCGTGATCTCTGATGTCCACCAATCATCCAAATTTCAGTGGTGACTCGTCACAATCTTCATTACGCCAGAATCAATTGATAGTTGATTCGCCCAAACAGAAATCGTCTGCATCGAAATGTTGTTGCTTATTTTTTTATGGATTTTTTTACACCCACTGCAAAATCTAGTCCGTGTAAATCTTTGCTTGCCATTTTGAAGGATACCTAGGTATCTTATCAGTCTCTTCATTGACCTGAAACGCTCATATTGTTGGTACCTATAGACTATGATCAGTCTGTGTCGACTGGTTAGTTCGAGCAGGGCAACATTTAGGTAAATGTAGATGATGTACATTACAGTTTGGTTGTATATTTTTATTCATTATAAAAAAGGTGAACTATTTTGTCAAAAATACAAAGCGATTGTTGAGATAGAGTGAAGTTATTTCGAGAGTATTATGGTCATCAGGACTATGAACCTTTCGCAAAGAAACAGGATTGGAAGTCAATTCAATTACTGAATTGATTGAGCAAGTAACCTTAGAAATATTCGGTAAAATATAGGTGATACCTTGAGAACGAAAGATAGATTATGAAAAACAAGAAGCCCGCAGTCTGTCTAGATGAGCAGCCACTGGCAGACAGCATTTTATGTTGTTCAACATTTCCTTATTATACCTTCTTGCCCACTGGCAGACGAAATTTCATTATTTCTAGACAAATTAATTATTGTAGTTCAGTTAAGTTGGCAAATAGCTCGCATTTCAGCAATTGTTTCATAATCAGTGATGTTTATGGTTCATAAAACATCAACGAAGTGTGCTCGAAATGCATACATTTACCATCATACATTACGAAACAGAATGGCATTGAGTCATAAGTCCTTTTATATGACATGATTATAATATTGATAATTGAAAAATTGTTTTTATTGAGAAGTGGATAACAAAATAATGAGATAGATTTCAATGAAGAAAGCAAACAATCTTGAAGATAAAAAAAAAACAAGAATAAATATGACAGTGAGCAATAATGAGGAAATGCTTGGAATTGATAACGACCTCTAATTAAAAATGGAGTAGTGTTGCCACCCTATCACTCAAATAGGCACTGAGAAAATACACATTAATTAGCGAAAATACCACAGTTATACAGTGTGTCCCACTTATCATGCTCACCATGGGTATCTTTTTAACGGTGAGAGATACGAGGTCGGTTAAATGACAACAAATGTGGAGTTTGTCAAGGCCAACTATCATGTGAAGAAATATTTTGATAAAATCTATTCGTTTTTGTTTTATACGCAAAAAACAGATTTTGATCATTTTCATGTCTCCTTCGTAACTTCTTTATTTATGAAAATATTCAAATAGGAATTTCACATTCTCATGGCAGTTTTTCGAAGTGATTTCGAACAAAATATGAAATTCATACCAACTCTTCTAGAATTTGAGATATCAGCACCAACTTTAGTTTTCCAAATGTAGGTCATAGCTCACTATGACTTAGTTACAAATAACTTTTTTTTCTCTTACAGATGATATGTCGCAGTAATAGTTTTGTGTTGATAACAACGGAGGTATCGCCATTTATACAAAAACAAAAAAATTATTTGGAAGCCGCCATCTGGAATTTATAAATTTTAACAAAAAAAATCATGATCTTCGACCTCAAAAACCCCCACTTACCAATTTTGAATGGAATCGGACCATATCTTGTCCGTCATCTTGGAGCAGCCATTTTTTTGAATTTCGAGATACATCGATTTCACCAAATTATCCAAAAAATTATTTTTCAATAGGAAATACTTTTTTTTCAACATTCACTTGTGATGTGTGACCCAAAATATGAGAGAAATAATAAAAAGAATAATTTGAAAAAACTATGGTAGGTACCCTAGTAAGAAAAATAGGTAACGACTTTTAAAATCGATTCATCTTGAAAATGGTGAGTGCTTTTTTTTATATTTCCTGTCAAACTGCCAAAACTTGCATAGAAAAATATGAAAGAATACTAGAAATTGAGTTATTTTGACAAAATAGTTCCTACAGCGTATTTTTCATATCATTTTGAATAGCTCGTTTAGAATTCACGAACATTCTCGCCAAAATTCAACTGAAAAAGATAAGGTATGTAATGACATTTTTCCAGAAACAGTTGAATATAATGCCACTGTGCGCATTTTGACAGTGATAAAAGTAATTGTTTCTCAAAGAACTCCAAGATAGGAATATATCAATATATCTCCTAGATAAATTTCATCGCATTTTAGCTCTTTGAGAAACCTGAGGAGAAACCCTAGTTGTGGGTATTTGAACTACTTATATAGTTTGTCAAAATACTGTCTCTAGGTTAATCGAGGAGATGGTGTATTCATTATTCCAGATTTTTTCGAATTTTCTCTCCTCGTTTCTATAAAAAGGGAACATGAGTATTATTTCCTCTTATTTTGAATCATTTTCTTCTGTTTTCAACTTTCATATATACTTTCTAGATGTTAGGTGATTATATTGTAATAACTGTGTAAATGTTGTATGTGTATGATGTATACTTATGATATTGTGTTATACCACAAGTCATTGATGTGTAATCAATGACTTCTGTGAGTTATTTGAATGTTTATTGAATAGTTACAGTTATTGTTAACTTCCATGTAATCAATGATTTCTGCCAATGAACATTCATTCAGTCATTTATTCATTTCAATATACGTGTAGTGAGGACAAACTCCAAAATGTCACTAGGTACAAACAATGTTTCTATCAGAGAGCCTTCAAGAAAAATTCAGCTTGTCAGTGACACTTTGTATTTAAAAAGGGTTTGGAGAAGAGAAATATCGGTATATATAGAGAAAATATCAGATTCCCACTTAGCTTCGGACATTTCGGGAACGAATATGCTTCCATTTTCAACATCAAAATTTGTTAGGCATTCGCTTTGACACTTCTCTGTGACTTTCTTCTTAATGGAACACTCTGTATATTTTTTGTATTTGAAACATTGATGCTTTGCGCTTTCCAGAAATATATTAAACTTGAGCCATTTAAAAGAGCCATTTAAAATCCCTTCATTTGAACATTTAACTTTTACAGACATACACTCAGTATAAATAAAATCCTCAATATTTAACATGTATAAAATATATGGAACGCACAAAACGATACAAATAAATATACATATTAAAAGCCCTCCGGGTAGACCTCTATCGGTTCCCAGAGGTTGGCCACGAGTGGCGCAGTGGGGGGCGGACTTTATTCATCAAGTGTGTTGGGGAAGATGTCCTAGGACATGGTCCTTTCCATAGCTGATAGGGCGAGCTGCTCAGTGCGAGCGAAAATTCGAATGTTTGGATTGCGCTATCATGAACTCTATAATTTGTCGTTGATTTGTTGGTGGAAAATTAAAGAAAAACCAAAAACCACATTCTGACAATTCGATTTGTATTTATGTCGAGGGGAGTAGGGAAGAGTGAGGGTTAGGATGGGTTTTGTGGGATAAAAAGGGATCAACAGACTGAGATTGAGCACATCGATTATGCAGATAAAATCTAGGTGTATATCTGTTGGTCGGTGCCAACAGGAGTGCGCTTACTATGCCCAGGGCAATATGTGTAGACACTCGGAGGTCGTACAGTCGGACCAAAGCGTTCAGTCCTGGGGCCGACCAAACCATGGACGTATTGTTTATACGTCCATGGACCAAACCACCTTCGAGTCGTGAAATTTGTTTGTTAGGGAGTGCTTTCAATCTGTTGGGATGGATTGGGAAGGTGGGTGGTTATTCCAGGGGTTCTCTGAAAATACTACAAGCTTCGTAAATCAGCCCGTGCTTTCTGCGTTGGCCATGATCTGCCCTAATTGACGTAATACCATCTGTTAGGGAGCTGTTTCGTATGTGGTACGAGTAGAATTTATTCGATAATTTAAAGATATAGTCCTTTATTAGGGGCAGATCATAGCACTGTGCATATCTGCCCTTCGAGAGTACCTATTACCGTTTGTAATTATACGAAGTACCTTATTCTGTAGTATTTGTAACTTACCCATATGGGTAGGCGAAATACTACAGAACACCGGACAGGCGTATGTTAGAGTAGGACGTATTATCTGTTTGTATATCAGGAGCTTGTTGTCCATAGTCAGCGAGAAATTCCTCGCTTACACTTGAGCGATATTTTGAGTATTAACCATCCTAAGATGGATTCATGCTACATCATGAATTTAAGATTTGAATGAATTTGAAATCAAGAATATATCGGTGTTCATCAATGTCAGCTGTTGCATGCGCTGTCGTGAATCATAGAAGAAAGTTATTTTTCAGATGAATGTTTTTGGCCATCTTTCGTTTCAATTTTGATTAAATTTTTTCACCTCTTTCCATGAACACCTACATTGAATTTCATGGTTTCATATTTTTGGTTTTTGGTTAATATTCACTTAGGGATCTCTTATTACACGATTCATCACAACGATGTCTGTCAAAATCGAGTAGGCAAAGGCAATACATAAATGATCCAATAGTTGTTAGTTGTAGATAAAATGTTTTAATTTATGTTTCAGCCAAAATCCTACGAATTCGGTTACCAAGTGAAAGACGACTACACAGGAACCGACTACAACAGGCAGGAATCCAGCGACGGAAATCAAGTTCGTGGGCAATACAGGGTGGCCCTTCCAGACGGTCGCACCCAGATCGTGACATATTGGGCAGACTGGCAGAGCGGGTTCCATGCTGATGTCAAGTATGAAGGGGAAGCTCACTATCCTGAACAGTACAACAAGGGAGGCAACGGAGGAGGGTACAATAATGGAGGTTACAACGGCGATGTGTCCAGCCAGTATGGTGTTCCCGCATATGCCAACGGTATTAGTTTTTTTTAAATGTATTTTTGAGATGTTCTTTCCTAAACGAAAATAGTAGTGTTTATTCAACATTCCTGTAGTGAGGACATTCTAGGTCTAGATGATTTACCCCGAAATGTCAGTGTGCTTAAAGTTCCACTATTAAGAACCTGATGGAAGAGAAATGTAATCGTTATTCACTGACAGCTTGTTTGATACATTTTTAGAAAAAAATTATATGGGTAGCCAGATAACACCAACCATCAACCCAGCATTTGTTACGCACACCTCTCCCAGCAGTACATGTACTTTTTCGGCTTCAAGATGTCCAGGCGGCCCTAATACACATTTACCGACAATGCACCATTGGTGTGAGGGCTTGCAAATCCGTATCAAGGAGGATGGGTTTTTTGAGCACTATTATAGTACCTGACCGCGAAATACAAATTATAAATACGCACAGTTTTTAGTTCTCGGTCAGGTACTTGGAAAGTGCTCGAAAAACTCAACCTCAATTTACGGATTTGCAAGCACATTGACGTTTGTGACTGAGCGCTCCCATCAATGCTGCAACGACATTATTTGTTGCCGCTGTAGCACTTCTGAGTCAATTATTTCATCCATACGCAAGCAGAAGTGGTAACGAAAGAGGGGCAGAAGTTTCGTATTATTGTCTAGGGAGATAGTGTGACATATTTTCTCCCTAGGGAGTTTATACCAACTTTACATTTTCCGCATAGCTCTGCGCTTTCTTTCAGGAACTCCCTTCTCTGAAGCGAGTATAAGCTGCATCATACAGATTTCTAGATATCACTGGTAGCAAGTTGAGAAGCACTGCAGAAGCGGTATCAATAGTTTCTTGGGGTTTACCCTCGATTTCTTGTTTCATAACCGTTGACCATTTTCAAAGCTGTTTTAATAATTTTCATTTTGATATTTGATGTCAGTATGGGTTGTCAACAAGATGCATATTGTCAAGATACGAATTCCACAAACTATACTACTACTAATTTTGACAAAACACTTTGACCAAATTTTAATTCTTTCCTAATTTTTTTGTTTTCGCCAGCATAAAGAATATTATATAAATCTCAGGGCAGAATGCTATTCTTTCCTCGCACCTTGGAAAAAATCTTGCATTTCTGTCCCTTGATGTATAATGTACTATTTTCACTTGTCCATTACCACCTCATAATACCATGGCAACGGTTACTATCAACAGACCCATATAACACCCAGGGCGTTATGGAGGACATTTTGAATCATAACGCCCGCTAATTGTTTTTTCTGTAGTTCATGGAATTACATACCAATTCTTGAAAGTACAATTATCCTTGTCGTATATACACTTGTCTGGATTTCTCCAACAATAAATTAATCAAAGCTTCGTCTGCATTTTTTATGAAAATCTTGGGTAAATTTGTATTCATATTCCAATAGTCGGCCGTTATTTCTCAAGTAGATCGGTGTTATCTGGATAGGTACCTGGATACGGCTTAGAGCCTTGGCCAACAAGCACTGAAGTCTGGAAATGTGTATTCACTACGAGGTTCATATGATTTTATTAACTGACTTAAATGTATATTTTGTTGGAGAACCAACATCAGGCTCGTGGAATTCAAAGTTACCATAACAAAAGCCTAATTTATCATCAGCATTACTTTTTCAATCCTGTTTACACAAATTGATAGAGAATAATAGAATCACATTCATGCCACACATCATATTAATTAAATCTCCGACTGATATCACAATGATGTTATATCGGCCCATTATGGTCTTTTTCATTCATAGGGTGATGTCAAATAAAACTCGGAGTTAGCACTGAGTAACTTATATTCTTCAACGTCCAAATTGATTAATTAATATGTCACATTGTTGGACATACAAGATGCGTGTGTTTTGATACTATCAGAGTGCTGTACATATTCAGCTACATCACAAACATACTCTTAGATTCCATTAGATACTAGCTGATCGTCTGGTTTGTGTTGCCACACTTCTAGACATCTTATAGTTACTTATACTTATCCATTTTTGTCTTCGCTATTTCGTTGAAATTCTTCTAGAAATTTTCTAATCACATTTTCTTCAAGAGTTGAAAATCCCATTTTCTACCTTCTCTGCCTTGTTACCATAGGTGGCAGAAAGATTCACGAATGTGAATTCGAATGATATGAAACAAAAACTGAGGATTGCAATAGTATTCGAGGTGTTGTGTTTATTTGAGTGGATGAGCCATTATGTGTTGGAGTGGAATACTGAACTATTCAAATATAAAAATTCAATCGCAATCTTGAGAGCGAATTGTAATAATCTTCAATAATGATCAAGAGTCACTACTATGCAATGAATGAGACATTTCTCTTTCACGTTTCTGCGAAGGATATGACGCTATAGGAAGGGTCACATTGCCCTCAATCATTTTGAAAATAAGATGTTAATAATCGAAAAGAAATCATAGTTACAAGAGGTGATATCGGTGTGATACACATCCCGTTTTAACGTCGCAACTGCCAGAAATTATTCCGAATTCGTAATGACAAAATTTACTCCTCCAATCAAGTAATTTTTTTATGATTTTCATCCTCAGGGTATCAATCTGGATCAGCAGCAAGTTCAGGAGCGATCAACAATTTAGCAGGTGGCCATGATAACTACAACTACAATAGCAATAACAATAACAACAATTATGATTCATACAACAATGGATACAGCAAAGCACCACCAAGTACTGTATATGGTCCGTTGTAGGTGTTGTATTGGGAAAACTTGTTGACCTCTGTATGTGTCATGAAATTTAATATTGAATCTCATAATGATGTTACAATGCTTTGTATATAATGCTCTTGATAAGTTATTTTAATCACGCCAGTATTTTGTATTTTTTATAATAAATATTCATGTTATAATATCACTGCCCAATTCTATTTTACCATCTCCTTATGTTCATCACACAAAATCATTATAGAATATGCATATAAGATATCATATTGAACATCTGAACATCATGATCGTATTGTTCTAGTTAATTGGTCCACTTTGGAGTGAGATAGGTACCTAAACTTTGGTCGTTTATCTCTCAGTGCATACAAATTCTGAAGGATTAAATGCTGGTATTTCGGAACTTCTCATATATTCACATTCATCATAATCATCATTGAATCCTGCAAATTAGTAACTACTGAAATTCACAATCAAATCACGAAAAACATATTGACAAATAAGTAATAGAGATATCAAACTAGTTCCTGCCGGAAAACAGCTAGAGAACAACTCTGGGGATTGATCCACCCTCAATAACTCTCAGAAAAATGATATAACAAAAGACAATAATACGATGAATATTGTTTGGAGAGAGACAGCGTTTGACGCAAACAAGATACCTACATACTTCAACCCTCCACTTCCCAAAGCAGCCCCCTCTATAATTTGAATAAAAAATAAGAGTCATATTATACATCATTGCAGAGGTAATTCAATTCTGACCCTATTAGTGCAACATTCTTTGGATTGCTACAAGCCGTTCTTGAGATATTTGACTTCAAATGGTATGTTTTTTAATTGTGAGTGTATTCGGTACGGAATGGATTAGTATAATATGTCCTCCACTAACTCACAGAGTATACTGTTCATCCGGAAGGAGAGAGTTTACAACTCAAAATTTCACTTTTCTGAGTTTTTCTTCAAAATGAACTATAAATCTTGCATACTTTTATGGGAAATAATGTTAAATGTAAGCTTCATTCAGCGGCCGAGAGATGGCGGCATCTATCTCTCTGGAAGAATCAAATTTTAGGAAATAACAATTAAGACCGTGCCATCTAAATAAATTTGCAACATTAAAATTGCGAAGGTGAGTTCTATATGGGAATCAGCCTTCTCTTCAATGAAGATATAACTTGGAATGTAATATTCCTTCAAAACTATCATCACACATGATTCAATTTAATTAGAAAGAGAGTATTATTTTTAGTTGGATGTATTTTCGACATATTCCCCCACTCGACATATTCTCCCACTCCAATATTGTTTTAGCTTACATTTTTTCAGTGATGTAACTATTTTTCCGATCGATATAATGAGAGGTAATGTCTTGTATCTCAATATTTAACTGTATATTCGCTCGAAAATAATATTACCTAGATCAAATGTTTTCAGATTCCTTCAATTTTAATTTGTGATGAAAAATAATACTGATGATTTACCAACAAGGTTGAAGAATGAAGAATGAAGGCGATATTGTCCACGCCACTATTGAGTGGGAAATAATAAGTGAATTCAAACATTCTAGTTGAATTTTTTGCCTAGATCAGTATGCAAGCATCATACGAACCGCTAAAAAAACTGGCACCTCATACACAGTACATAAATTATGCCATGAGGACTTGAAGGACATCAAAAGATTGACATCTGATTCATGTGTGAATCCAATTTTATCAGGAGAATCAAAGTTTCTCATTTTATAAGACATCATACGACCAGTAAGGGTTTGATAAAGCTTCGATTTGGAATACTAGAAGGAAACTAGACATCGTGAATATGAATCTCAAGCCCGCCTATTGACAAAGACCTGGAGGACAGAAGTGAAGTAAAATGGGTTGATTTCTTTAACAATTCACAATTTTTATGAAAATCTGTGGAAGAAAACAATGTGTTCAGTTTCACTGATAAGTTTTGATGTTTCTCATTTCATCATTAAGATTATCAAGAATGTAAATTTCTTCAATAATGAAATATCAAGTTTCAAGCCCGTGTATTACCTAAGATTCCATTTTGTCACATTGACAATCATGAAGATATGGTGTAAGTTTTGGATTCAAGAGAGTACATCAGTTAATTTTTCGCCAGTTTTTCATTATCGAGAGCTGATCTGATACTATGCCGTCCTCCAAAGGGTTTATGGATGATAGTTTGCACGAAAAACAGTCAGTATACACCATACGATTGAGAAGATAAAGTCAATTGAAATTTCAACCAATATTAAAATCCTTTTCCTGAAAAAATATGTTTTTTGAGCTGTAACTCTTTTCTTCCGGATGAACGATATTTGAAACTTTTGCCATTGTCAGAATTGGATTACCTTTGCAATTTATAGCACGACCCTTATCTCCTATTCAAATGAAAGAGGAGGTTGCGTCAAACGAAGTCCCGCTCCAAAAAAAAACCGGCATGTTTCGTTGTTACTTTGTGAAATAATTCTTCTGAGAGTTTTTGAGGGTGGATAACCTTGAGTGGACCACCCGGTAAATGGCAAGCTTTATAAGAAAAACTTGAGGGATCTCAAGCTGTGGCGTTAGATTCATTGAAAGTATTCGATAGTTGTTGGCACCAACGAACTCTTTACAAACTCCTATAATATGGCTGACGGTCCCAGGTATGCCTTGTTTTATCGAGTTTTCATCTCCTGATATGTTGAGATTCGTGTTTTTTTATGATCATTTTTCGCAATAAAATTTTGGAGGCTGCGTTTGGTCAGGGTGTTTCATTCTGTTGCACTGATAGCATGGCGTCAGCCACCTGTTATCATCAAGGCTTTCAAGGATGTTTTTCCTTTTTCTCGAGACTCCGAGGGTCTCGTTGATAATTCTGTTTTCTACGAGCGACTCTGCATGCGTCCATAATGTTTCACGTGATTCACTGTAACCAATCTGAAAGTGAGGCTTGGGAATGGTTCGAAAACTCAAGGCTTTCGTGAGTTTTCATTCAGACAGATCGCTCATTGGGGTGATGGACAGAGTTTGGTCTGATACCATAGCCATTGATTCCATTTGATTTGATTTGATACCATAATTGTTGCTAGTCCATATCAACGATCTTTTGGGTAAAACCACCTGAACTATCTGATCGAACTGACGAAACTCTGCGAACTGCATTTTCTTCCACAACTCCAATTTCATCCCAGGTAACAAATTTTAGCCTGGAGAACCGACCACCTGGTTCAATCAAATGCATCTGATATGGCAATATACTATTCCTGATTTGATTACACAAATTATGAATTTCGCAGAGCATCCTCTCATCAGAAGATCTGATTCTAGTCACGTTCAAAACAATTTTCCATGTATAAATAAATGTTATCATAATCATAGCTATATTACCTTGAGTGAGTACATGAATTTTAACATTGCAAAATAATTTATAGGCAGAAAGTTCCTATCTCAGGCATATAAATTTCGGAAATTGTAACGCATATCAATTTCTGAAACGTCTGAATATTCGTGAACAAAATGAAGCAAGAATAAGAAACTGGGGATTGTTAAACAACTGTAGGTAGTCAGAAAATGATATACCTATTATGGGTAAGTATACAATTATAGTTTCTCACAATGGTTTCTCACTATAAAATTTTTCTGTGTTAATTTCAATTGTTATTGAGACAAGTGATACTTATACTTCATTATAATTATTGCAAATTTTTATTCTCAGGCATAATGGGTGATGGAAATATTGCCTAATCTATTTACTTGCTGGAATAGTTTGTTACAATCATTATTTTGTTCAATGAATGCATATAAATTAAATCATCAAGAATACAGAAGAAGTTTTCTGAAGGAATGTTGAAACACCACAACTATATATTTCAAATCGTACATTTTCCTTTTCCACACATAGAGGGTGGACCATTTGGTGAATATAACGTTTTTGATGAGTGTTCAGATGGGAAACCCCACTTTTTTAACTACCTATTTGATCTCTTCATGAAAATCAATTGGGTATGCTACAAACATGATATTTCGAATAATTGAAAATACAAGGAACTTTATAAACTGGGCGTCAATTGAAACGTTAATAGTGAAATTTGGCATCAAGTTTGACTTCTCGTAATTTCTAAAATATTGAACGAATTTTGAATTGCCGCCCAGATTCTGAATGCCTTTTTCATCGTCTTTCGAACCGTTCCTCACAGCTTCTTCTAAATTGATCAGGACCCGTGATACATGGTGAAACAAAGTTTTGTGCATTTGGAAAAGAATTTCTCCGCCCTCCCATTTTGTCGGAAGACCACGATGCTCATATTTTATTTAGGCATTTCATAAATAGCAACCGTACCTCAAGACGTTTTCGAGTTTTTGCCAAAAACTACTGTGGTTTCCGAAAAATTTTTTTTTGCATTTTTTTCAAATGGACTGATTACCTGTATCCTCAAAACGATGAATCAGTCTATTTATTGTCATGACTGACTGATTGAAAATGGTACCTAAATGAATTTGGGTATATCCTAATCGTCATAACCTGAAATATTAATTATCTGTACTGAATTATAGTTTATATCACTATAGTGATCTTACCTAATGATATTTTCCATTTCGACCCGATTTGAACGAGGCATCTTCAAATTTTTTAGGACCTGAATTACACTGACGTTTTCATGAAAATTGGCAATTGATATAACCTTTATGCATACCTACATTGTTTCAACAATACCTTGTTATAGAAACAAGGTATCGTTGTTTGTTTTTGTTGATGAGATGTGTTGATTTACTGCTCACTAAGGTAGAAAACTTTTATCATAGACTGCGAAGTAATAAATTATTGATTGTTTTTGAGTAACCTGGTATACATATCTGCTCCAACGCTTTCCTGAAATGCATTAAAGCATCCATTTATGGAACTCCTCTAAAATAAGTCCATTTAAAAAAAATACAAAAACATTTTTTTTTTTTCGGAAACCACAGTAATTTTTGGCAAAAACTCGAAAACCTCCAGAGGTATGGTTGCTATTTATGAAATGCCCGAATAAAATATGAGCATCGTGGTCTCCCGACAAAATGGGGGGGCGGAGAAATTTTTTTCAAAACGCACGAAACTTTGTTTCACCCTGTATCATGGGTCCTGATAATTTAGAAGAAGCTGTGAGGAACGGTTCGAAAGACGATGAAAAAGGCATTCAGAATCAGGGCGGCAATTCAAAATTCGTTCAATCTTTTAGAAATTACGAGAAGTCAAACTTGATGCCAAATTCCACTATTAACGTTTTCAATTGACTCCCAGTTTAGTCGACATGTTTCCATTTCCTGAATCAAAATCTGATTTTTGAATGAATCTATACGTTACTAATGGATCGCAGACATAACCATCTTAAAACAGCTACACTAATGACATCGGGAACAAAGTAGAGTTCTTTTTGTTAGGTACCCCAAATGATAAGGAAAATCTTCCAAGCATTTTTCAGGATACCATTGGGATATTCTCGGGCATTGCAGACCCCTTATGTTCTCTTCATCTTGATTCATTATATCGATTTTAGATTATCAATACGATTTCAACGATATTACTATTTCATGCAGTCATTCTCCTGTTTCTGATGTTCATTTATCCTTGTTACGTAACAGTATCTGAATTCTTGCAATCATAGATATTTTTGAACATTTCTTGTGATTGAGATGAATGAGAAAGAAGAATTGTCTTGTTTGATGGAGTGGACATCTGAATATTGGGAAGAAATGTTTGCATGTTTTCTGGAGGTCAATGAAAGACGAATAAAACAGCATAGTAGAATATATATAGGGTGAAAGGAGAAAAGAAAAAATATCATTTTAGTATGGAACATTGAAAACGGTGAATAGGACCATGGCCCATTATTTATAATAGACTAATAACTCAAGTCGTTTTCGAAAATTCACTTCTGATTGAAATACAGGATGAAATGTCTCAATCTGAATTTGTATCCTGATGTGGATGATTATTATCGACCGATTTTCAATATTTAATGCCCAGGCACAGAGATTCTCATACAATATACCTACAGGATGTTTCACAACTTATCCGATATATTTCTACAACAACAAAATTTCATAGAAAAGCTCTCCTTCTTCCTGAGAATAAGAGGAATGAATAGTTTGAAACTATTAGGAGACCACTAGACCTTATCCTCAGGAAGGATAATTATGTTCAGACCATTTCACACCAGATACAGCTTCCTGATGCTTCCAGGCAAATCCAGGACATGCAAATTCGCCATTTTTTTGAAATGATTTTCTCAAATCTGTGTATTCGAAATCCATGAGACCTGAATACCAATCTTTCGTTTCAATAGAAACTGATGTTTTGGCTGAAGCAATTTCCACAACTTTCACAAATCGTACGCTCTCGTTTTCTTCATATAGTCTCGTTTTAACTTGACCAATTTCATAGCCAATGACAAACTGATTAACCAAAGCATTTCCTATTTCGCTAGCACCTCCAAATTTACAAACAGCAACTAATTCTCGGAGTCTTGCTGCCCATTCTTTCGGAGATTCGGATGTCAACTTTTTGGCTTCAAAAAATTTTTCTCTGTCACAAAATACGGATGATATCGGTTTGAAATGCTCATCCATCAAGAAAATAATATCACCATATGACTTTGATTCTGGTTCGTCAGGTATGCACATGTTGAATAAAAGTTTGTACGCAGTTTCATTCAACAAACTCAGAAGAATGGCACGCTTTCTTTCATCCTTATCAATATTATTTGCTAGATAATAATTTTCCAGCCGTCTTTTATAAATTGACCAATCAGATATACTCGGTATAAATTCCTGTATGTGACCAGCTAAAGGAATACTCTTTTCCGACATTTCTGAATATCTGTTATGATAATTTCAATGGTTCTTTACACAACTCGTCGCCACTGTAATATCCTGATTACTATATATTATTATTCAGAATGATATCTTGAAATAATTGTATTTTGTCTTTATTGAAACAAAAGTACAAAATTCATCATGACAACCTATTTCTCGAAAAGTCACTTGATCTACTATGAAATATAATATATAAGGTGATTTATATATATATATATAAGATTTACTATAGCTACTATACTACAGCATGTTTCATTCGTTTCTCACTATACTTTTTGTATGGTTTATCAACCTTCCATAGTAGACCCCTCCCAACTTTTTCCTTCGATACGATGAGTGAAAATTTGATATTCTTACCATATACCTTTATTTCTCTTCTCCAAACCTTTTTCGAAACAAATTGTCTCTGACAAGCTAGTGAATTTTTCTTTTGGGCTCTCTGATAGGAAAATTCTTCAAACTCAGTGACATTTTGGAGCAGATCATCTGATTTGTCCTCACCACACGTATCTTGAAATAGTATTCATATTTTTATTTAATGGAAACGAGGAGAGAACATCCCAAAAAAATCTGGAATAATAAAGACTATTGTAGTTCGTGAAATAAAGTTAATTTATGGAAATCTATTCATCAAGGGAAAAACATTTCAACATCTAGTCATTCGTTTCTCTTTCGCCCAGGGGTGGGCGAAACCCCCTAAATCTGCCACTGCTTACTGCTTTTTTTATCTCAAGCTCAAACGCAGTGATTCGATTTGAATGAAATCGCTGACAAATCCTTTGAAATATATATGTTTCAGTGCCTATTTCTAGCAACTATCGTTGGAAAAACTTTGCACTTTTGCTCCTAGATGGATCTAAAAACTAGATCGTCCTCTCTGTTCTAGAGCATAGAAGTATAATTAAATGTTGGGATATTTTGTGATCACAGCAGGACATTCGACTGTGTCGATCATAAGATTCCGTTATGGCATACGGGGTATATCATTAGCATGGATAACAGACTATCTCTCCTGTAGAGAACAATACGTCGTTATATTAACAAAGCAACTTCCAGCATGGTCTTCTCTGAATTAGGAGTACCTCAAGGGTCGATATTGGGACCCATATTGTTTGTTTTGTATAATGATGATTCGGAATATTCAGAGCTAATGATAATTCTGACACTGTAACAACAGAGTGTGAGAGCCTAAAATTCTTAGGTCTTCACATTGATGAACATTCAAATTGGCAGATACACTGTGATTTTCTGATCAAAAAAATTAACTCTACTCCATATCAGTTCAGGATATTAGGCAGATTTTAACTGATGATCAGTTGCTGAAGCTGTACGCTCAGGTTGATTCCAGACTGAGAAATGGAGTGTGCTTCTGGGGCTTTTCCTCTAGCTGCTCTGATGTCTTCAAAGCACAAAAAAAACTAATACGAATTATTAGTGGCATAGTCTCTCTGATTCATGCAGAAAAGCTTTCAAAATATTTGAAATATCAACTCTCCCTAGTCTATTAATTTTTGACTTGTGTTCATCTGTGTTCGAGAATCGAAATGAATTGTTTGTACTGAAAAAATTTAAACTAATATTGATACAAGACAAAAAACAATGTTTTTGTACCATTTGGAGAAACCAAATTAGCTTTCGAATCTCGTGACCAGATGGCTCCATGTGTTTATAATTTGCTACCAGATTTTATAAAAGAATCCAAAACTGTTTCAATGTTCAAACGAAATTCACAAGAATTTTCTTGTTGATGAGTGCAATTATAGTTTTGAAGAATTTTCGTGCATAAATAAGTAGTTTTCATCCTCTCTATTTCAGGATTTTTTCAAAATTCGATCTCCTTTTCTCCTTCTTGTTTTTTTTTGACAATTCCTATACAAATCTTGTTACTTTGTCTTGAAGGATATAATGAATTATAATTCGGGAATCGATCGTCAGCCGGCCTAGGGCGCCACCGATGAGGCTTGCCAAGCCGAAACAGTTTGATTTGCATCAGCTGACCATCGGCTCACGAAATTTCAATAATAGTCTCAAGATCCTATAGATCACAAAGCTTTATTGATAGGATACTCAGTTGATTGTCAATCAAGCTTATTAGATAAAGGAAAATGATAACAGAATCATTTTATCAAAAGTTTATTTGCTGCTCCGCCAATTGATTCACATTGCAATCATTCAATAAATATTCAACTAAACCGAAGAAATACTGAGTAAAATGATGATTATTCCTAATAATCAAATAAATCTAGGTTTGTATATAATTTGCTTATCGACTCTATACATAACCTGCTAATATATTTATTCACAATAATTACAAGAAAGCCTTCCTCTTTCGAATAGCCAGATGATATAAAGATCATATTTCGCTATAAAAAACATCGAGAACTACTATAGATGAACATCATTTGGCAGTGCTTCAATCTGAATAAAAATCTGTATGGATTGGCAGTATTCAAATACTTCATCATTCATTTGCATACTCACGAAAAAAATTATCATTATGATCTAATATCTAATTACATTCATTTTTTAGGTATTTACATAATTATCAATCGAAAATACAAATACAAGAACTGAACTATACAGTAACTTTGAAATGAATTCATCATTGATCTTTTAAATATTATTAAAATTAACTATTTATTGTTATCAAATTGTTTTCTCAACTGTGTAGTTTGTAGAAATACCTGTGAAATTCTCATCATTGTACAGCCTAATAAATATCGATTTTTTACAATTCTGTTCAAATTTTGATTTATTAAGGATATTTCAAAACTCAAGGTGGAAAATATATCTGCAATTCATAATCATATTTCCCAATGCCAATGGATTACATTGGTTGATCACATATCTAAACTCATCATATATTTATGCCTATTTTCTACCCACTGGTGGCAGATATCCAGGAGTTGGATTCTTCGATCCTGGAAACAGAGGTTTTCCCGGACTGGGGAATGCAGGCCCTGAAGGTCTTCCTGCTGGTGGATAGCCAGGAAATCCTGTAGAGGGTCCAGTTGGTCTACCTGGACTCGGTCCTGGATACGATGGTCCTGGATAAGACGGTCCTGGACGACTTGGAAATCCTGGACTAGGGAACCCTGTGCTAGGTCGGCTTGGTATTCCAGGTCCTGGATATCCTGGACGAGGTGTAGGTCTGTTCGGTATCCCAGACCCTGGATATCCTGTACTGGGTGCTGGTCTGCTTGGTATTCCTGGTCCTGGATATCCTGGTCTGGGAGCAGGTCTATTGGGTATTCCTGGCCCTGGATATCCTGGACTTGGTGCTGGTCTGCTCGGTATTCCTGGTCCTGGATATCCTGGACTTGGTGCAGGTCTACTTGGTATTCCAGGTCCTGGGTATGATGGTGATGGGCGGCTGGGTATTCCTGGACTTGGTCCCGGATATGAGGGTCTTCCAGGACCTGCTGGCCCAGTAGGTCTTCCAGGGAAGCTTGGGTAGCTGGGTTGGCCTTCATAGCTTATCTGGAATGATTCCGAGTTAATTGAGCTATCAATATGAATCTGGTATCTCGAGTGATAACTGCATTGTTGGAAAATGAATGTTAGCTAAGTACTTAAAACATCACAACTACCTAGGTGTTGCCCTTACATATAAATGGTTTTCTTATTTGAGTTTCCTATGCTAGCATTCCTGTGAATCAAGTATTTCTCAATAAGCACCTGTTTCACGAGATGGATCGCTCAACCACCATTCAATGCATTGGAATCGCCAAAGGGGAAAGCAAGCCAAAGAGCTAACGACTAATTGATATTTCTAGGTTTTCGGCAAGCAAAATGATTTTTTTCGTTGAAACTTAGTTGAAAGAAAGTTTTCTCTTGTGATGACTTCTGAGTTGAGTCAATTCCATCTCGTTGATGAAACATGTCAGTTTTAGTTTAGATGCAAGTTACATAGACAAGTGTGGTTAAATGGAAGTAGTCCTTATTGTATCAAGAGTATTTTCCAGTATTTCTAAATGATTTTGGGATATGTTACCTTTGCGTGGAAGCCTGTTGCCCAATCAGCAGTGTATTTAACAACTTGTGTCCTTCCATCTGGTAGCTGAACTCTGTATTCTCCATTGGTTTGATCGCCATTGTTGATCGCATTATGAGAATAGTCGTTACCAAACGCAGCTTCTTTCACAGCATACTTGAACTCAAATGGTTCTGCTGGTTTGTGGGGAAGAAGGAGGTGGTCATTCTGAAAATAGATGATTTGATGAATATACAAAGTTGGTCAAAGTTTGGAAATGGTTCAAAACAACTCAGAAACTCATTTCCAAATGCTTTAACCTTTATATGTTCAATTCGATAATATACAACGTTCCTCTGTTGTATCCAATTGAGGAATCAATAGCTGAAGAAAGCTTCTAGTATCCGAGTGTCAGAGCCTAGACAACGGAAACATTTCGGATTTGAAAATTTAGGATGATTCAAAAAGTCGCAAGAATGGATTTGGTAAACAGGTTTTCAAACCTGACTTAGAAGACAAACCTCTGAGAGACAATAAATCAGTATGAATGAGAATAGCCTTATTCTACCAGTATACTCATTCTTCTGTATATTATTGGAGCATTATCATTCAATTATGATCCACTGGCCCTAATGTACTAGGAACCATGAAAATTCGCAATCATCATTCAGCTAGGAAAAATCATCTCCCTAGGAGCCATATTCTATTTCTTCTGGTTCTCATACATTTCGTTCACAGCAGTCAACATACCAATCTGCACATATATGTTCATGATGATATTCCTTCTCATGATAATGAGATATACCGGGTGTCCCAGTATACCTGTCGAATGAATTATCTCAGTCATTTCGAAAAATAAAAATTTCGAAAATTTCATGATCTCCAATTCGTTCAAGGAAGCTTCAACTGAGAAAAACCGGTCAAACCGGAAGTGACTCTAACTTTTTTATTTCAAATAGCGCCTTGTATATTTTCTGCAATTTTTGATAAATACTCAAAATTACCGTTTCAACGTTGTATCACACTTCGTATTTTAAATTCGATTTGATGGAGAGAACGACAATTGAAATTTCAAATTGAACGAATTGCAGTAGGCTACGATAACTTTGTAATCTTGATTTTGACTTCAATAATAATTTTATGTTATTAGAATTGTAGTAGATCATATAATTTTCAAATTTTCATCTCTCGAAATGGCTGATATAATCTATTGGAACAGGTATACTGGGAGACCCGGTATAAATGTATGTGATAAACTGCTATTTTAGTGCTCTCATTTATGATGGAATCAGCATCATCTTCATCTGTGAGACAATTGAATACAGCCAAACATAAATGAGTTGTGTTACAAATTGAGCTCATTGTGCAAAAGTTTGAGCATGCCATTATTCCCATCATATTCGGACTATGAAAAAATATTGATTTGTTGAAAAACGGATACCCTGCTCCAAATACATTGTTCTTTTCCCACCGTCTTTGTGTGAGAAAGTCAGCACACAGTCTCCGAACACTATATTTCGTTTTGTAATGGGTGTAGTAGAGAAGACCAAACACTCACCTCTCCGAAACCTGGAATGGGCGCACCCGGTTTGAACGGGGGAGGTGTCCCTGGTCTTGGTGGAGGAAAAGGTCTACTAGTCGGTCTCGTACCAGGAGTAGGCGGCGGTCCATAAACTGGTGCAGTTGTCGGCCTAAAAGGAGGTGGACTGGGTACACTCGGAGGCCTGTAAGGAGGAGAAGTAGCGGGCTTGTAGGTAACAGGAGGTCTATACGGGGGGGAAGTGGGAGGAGGTCCGTATGTGGGTCTGTAGGGGGTGGGTTGTGGTCTATAAGGAGGAGACGTTGGAGGTGGACCGTATGTGGGTCTGGAGGGAGTAGGTTGTGGTCTATAAGGAGGAGAAGTAGGAGGTGGCCCGTATGTGGGTCTAGCGGGAGTAGGTTGTGGTCTATAAGGTGGAGACGTTGGAGGTGGCCCGTATGTGGGCCTGGAAGGAGTAGGTTGTGGTCTATAAGGAGGAGAGGTTGGAGGTGGACCGTATGTGGGCCTGGAAGGGATAGGTTGTGGTCTGTATGGGGGCACAGTGGGACGACTTGGCTGGAATTTCGGGGGTACTGTTACTGGTGGTGGTCTGCTGGTTGGTCTGGGTGAGGGAAAGGGTATTGATGGTTTGGGGTATTCGTAGCCTTGTTTCGGTGGAAGATACGCATTTTGTCCTGGTGCTATTGCTGCGAATGCTATGGCGCTGAAGCAGCACAGAAGAGCAGGCACCTGAAAATGAGATAGTGAAATATTATTATCTATTATTGATATCCATTGTGCAAATTATATCGTAGAGATGAGATTCGATATTAGTGAACTTACAAAGTTTTTTAATTAAAATGGTGGTTGAAATACTGCCCTTTTCGATGAGTTTTCATAGATGAAATGTTCATTCTCTGTGAGAATCGAGTAATTTATCTTGAAGTATACATAACATAGTAGATAATGTGATACCTATACAGTGAGCAGTTATAACAAATTCGTTAAAAGCCTGATATGGCCATTGGGGAAAGAAGCTCATACACGTCGATTGTCTGTTTCAGTTGCGCATTGCCAGGCAAACGGTATCACAATACGCCGTTTTCTTGCAAATAATCCAGTAATCGACTTTATTATTGTACCCCATGTTCTTTGCGGTGCTGAATCAGAATCTGTGATTATTCAACAAAATGTCCTGGTGCTTTTGAGATATTCGCAAAAAACAACGTAATTTCCGCCCTTTTATTTGGTTTTCCGCTTATTATTCCAAAACTATGCGTAGTAGCGAAAATATAATACATTATCTGAAGGAGATTGAATTTGCTACAATATAAAAATAATCGCAGCACTGTGAGTTCAACAGTTCTCCAGATACAGCAGATCAAATATGGTTCAATGTTTCCAGAAAATGATAATTCAAGTTTTGAGTCAACTAAATATTGGGGAAAATATTGATCCTACAAGGAAAATCGTTACGAGTGAGTAGTAAATCTTTACAGCTCCAATTCATATACAGAGCGAGGCGAGGGAATCGAATGACACATAATATGCAATATACTAAAACATGCAAAAAATTGATTTTGGTAAAATGCCACCTGAACCATTTTCCTTGCATGAATACTTTGCAAATCTGCCATGAATTCACTCCACTTGTGTTCAAAAATTTCTCGTTCAGACGCGCTTTGGTAACGAAGGGTCCTGCATTCCAGAAGGCCGTGATTGCTGCCTCACCTCTCACCCTCACCCCCTTTTTCGAACTTCCAGGCAATCAGTTGGAGGAGCTCAACAAAAACGCTGGAAAACTAGCCATTTGTGGCGGGATATTCTCACATTTTGTCGAGTGCTAAACTGAAAGTACTCGCTCGGAAAGTTACTATAACATTGAATTCCTTCAGTTCGGGTTGAGTCAATCTAGGAATGTGTGATGAACTACTGTCCAAATTTCCTGTTCATGACAACTCCACCTCCAAATAGAGTGTGAACAATGAACAATGATTTGCCAAGTATTGCTCCAGCTAAAATTTCACTCTCATGCGGACGACTCTAATGTCATAACAACTATAGAACACGCTCAAAATATAACGTTCGAAATGAATGAATAGTCAAAACAAAATTGTCTTAGTATAAATAATGAAAAATCTCATATTATTCATTTCGAAAATAAAAATTAACCCTCAGAATACAGTATCTCAGTGAGATCAAATGATGGGAGTAGTATACAACAATTGAATAGTACGAAGTTTTTGGGCATTCACCTCGACTCCAAACTGAGCTATGTTTCACATACTGAGGCACTATATGAAGCCTTGAACTATCTTTCTTTTTTGTTCCGAAAACTCAGACCGGATGTCAGTGATTCCACTCTACTCATGCTCTACTATGGCCAATGCTACCCAAAGCTATCGTACAGCTTGATCTGTTGGGGTTATTCACGGAATATTGAGGCAGTATTGATATCGCAAAAGAAAATAATCCGGAAAATTGCGAGAGTACCTCGGAGGCACTCACGCAAAGAGCATTTATTATTATTGAATTCAACCTACTCACCGTTATCTCAGTATATATTTTTGCATGCTCAATGTATGTGAAAAGTTGGATAAATCAATATAAAACCCTCCAAGATGTCCATAGTTATGATACTCGTGGAGAAACTAGCATATGCATTCCTCATTATCGCCTAAGCAGAGCCATGGATGTGCCCCATGCAATGTCGATCAAAATATTCAATATTTTACCATCAGGAAGCAAGAACATCTCAAGCATAAACATGTTCAAGATAGAATTGAAGAACTATCTGTTACCCAAAGTTTATTACTCACTGGACCAGTATTTTTCCAGTAAGCCCAAACTGTCATCGAGATGAACACTTCCATGTTAGCTTCAACATTCTTTTAGTGTGGACGCTACAAGACATTTCGATTTCAATTGTAATTTTATTTAAATTAGTGTGGTTTATTATTTATTGATGAAACATTGTTTTTTAAATTTTCTGACGCATCCTGTATCATACATGTCTGTTTAAACCACTTTTCATGGATATGTCTTGATCTGAGAGGAATTGAAAAAATTTCGAAATTTTGATTTCATTTGTTTTGAAGTATGCTTGATTCTCGTACTCCATTCATCCTCAAAGATAGTCATATGAATAGGGTGACCTCCGCCTTGGTGTCAGAGTGCATAGATAACCTACAAAGGCTGTCAGCAACGAACAAAGTATGTCTTTTGTGGGTTCCTGGACACTCAGGGGTACCAGGTAACGAAATGGCCGATGGTCTGGCCAGAAAGGGGGCGAAGGGTTCAGTGATTGGCCCAGAGCCAATCTTAGGGGTCACTCGACGATCCTGTAGAAACTTCAGGATGGAGGAAATCCTGACAGAAAGGTTTCAGGTCAGCTGGAGAGAGGCTCCTGGAATGAGGCAGTCCAAACTCCATATAGGAAACCCGTCACGAAGACAGACCAATGCCCTCTTGGCTTTGAACAGGAAGGAGCTGAAACTGGTGGTGGGACTTCTGACAGGGAACTGCCACTTGAACAAATATCTCAGCACGATCGGGATTGTGGAGGATCCTGAATGCAGATGGTGCCTAGAGGATGAAGAGACTTCTACTCACATCCTCACTGAATGCCCGGCAGTAGTGGCAGCAAGAAATATCCACTTTGGGAGCAGTATCCTGGACCCAGAGGATGTTAAAAAGATTTGGCCTAGAAAGTTGGTCCCTTTTGCTCGAGAGATAGGCCTTCTCCATGGCTGACTTGCGATCCCAGGAATGTGGGTGCACAATGGGCCCGAAAGGGAGGCCTAAGTGCGTCAGGTCCCGGACCGCCCAGTCACATTCATACATACATAGTGTCTTTCTAACTTATTTCATTGAGTTATCACACGTCCTATACAGTACGTCAACAGGTCAACAAGATGACAATTCAATTTGATCGTTTATCTCTACACGGTTGATTCTTTCGATGGATGAATGATGATGCATACGCTAGGACGACTCCAGTGCCCGTGCCACCAGACAGTTATTTATTATCAAAACAAAATATCAAACCGGTGAAGATAGAAGAAGACACCAGCAGGAAAGTGTTTAGAGGATAATTGCGATGCCCTAGGCATTGTAGGCGCAAACCGAATAGTAGCTTAATCATCTTCAGGGTCGTATTTGCACAGAGATAATAGGAATATTGACTTGACAATTATTAATTCATTGATGATTTCCATTTTCATTGGGTATTTCATGAAAATGATAGTATAATATATTGTGCCATTGAAATTCATCAGTTTTGCGTTCATCATAATGAACATATATATTTGAAAAGAAAATCAACTTATCCTATGAGATTTATAAATAACCATGACAATTTGATGCAGTCTCCAGATAACTAACCGAATGACAACTATTTTGAAAAAAGTAGGAGATGATAAACTCTCAATGATATCGCTCATCTCATAATGTGATAATTGAAAATATGATGAATCTACTCAGTTCACAGACCATATAATTAAGCAGATTTGTACTCAAGAGGAGGGTTCCTGCATTTCATGATGCAAAATTCATTTTTTGGAAAAACAAAAATACGATGAGCTTTCTCAAAAAAACAATTCCTGACAATCCCAGGAATTTTAATATTCACTGTAATACCTGAGTTTCTCATATGAAATCATTCCATCTGAAAATCTCGCAAATGAAATAAACAAAACTGTTTATTCGAGTTTCCTAGTCAACTTGATTCACTGAATGATATCATTATTGGTTTGAGAAATCATATCGAATTAATCAAAAAGATATATTCAAGTAGGTTCATCTGTTTTTCAATTATTTAACTATTTTTTCATATACTCTCCGATGATAACACTGTTTATATACTTTATGTATGTGAATTTCTACTGTTTAACCCAAAAATTCCTTGTCGTTCAACTAATATTTCATATTGAATTATATAATTAGCTGTATAAGTCATTTGCTGCATCTCCACAAGTTCTACTCAACCTTACATTTGATTTGAATTTTCGTTTCATCGTAACATTTTCAATTCATTATGTTGATTCAAATAGATAATATGCATTCACCAGTTCATTGAATTCTAGTGTGTTGTGTCATTTTCTGCTATTCTTATTTCTCAAACTAGCTGTTCAGATATTTAGGTATCATCCAGTTCAGTATTTAACCCTAACTTCACATTCAAAGTTCTATCGAAAGTACCTACTCTATAACCATCAATTAATAAATTATTAGTAGAAGATCCGAAGATCGACTTTACCAATCTGTTTGAGGGATGAACATTATTTTATAAGTAATTTTGCATGTTGAAAATCATAACAAAAATGGATTGCCTTCAAAATCCTGTTGGTGTAAATTTTCATCATTAAACTCATCGGTAGAAACCTAAAAAAAATTTTGAATTTTCAATTAATTATAGCCTGGCCAGGATTTTTCAGGCAACAATTTTTTTCAACATGCTGAATCACTTTTAAAATAGTCTTCATTCATTGAACACATGGTAGAAGGTCGACCTCACTCAAGATCTTAGCGCTATTATTTCGACCCCAAACTGAAATCACATTTATTGTGAATAGAGAGTTCGAAACATCATTTTATCCAACAATTTTCATTATTTGAAAAATTATCCCTATACCCACAAGCTTCATCATGATGTTTTCATTGAACTCTCATTGAAATGAGAATCAATTTTCAAATCTCGAATTTTCTTTCCAACCCAAATTCGAAGTTATTGTCCAGAGCTTCTTCATTCC